GCGCCCCTCCCTCCACCCCGCGCCCCTCCCTACCATCTTCTGGGCTTTGGCGGTTTCACTGCGGAAGGCACTGGACTCCCGGCGGGCGAGGTCCGGGGAGAAGTGGCGGTTGAGCACGCGCAGGCTGCCCGAGTACACCTGGCTGACCGTCCCCTCTGCCTTGTACCCTGCACAGGAGGAGACCAGCGGGGTCGACCAGGGGAGACACTGGGGCGGCTCCCCCAAGCCTTCCCTGCTGCCCCGAGCGCTCAGTCCAGTCCCCAACATCTGGAGCTTCCCTCGTCCTGGTCCTTGCCATCAGCGTCATCTAAAGTTGATTCTTGACCCACCAGCCCCAAGGGGCTGAGGAGAGAGGCCCACAGATGGTGGTGCCCCAGGCCGACACAGTGACCAGCCTGACACAAGGGTGACAGGAGGGCCAGGGTGCCCACTGGGCCTAGAAAGTCAAGTTCCTGGCACCCACTCTGCGGTGCCGACAGACGTGTCCCAGGGAAGCTGGCTGGAGCTGAGGCAGGTGCCCTCCTGTGGCCACACCATGAGGCCCCAGCTGACGGGTAGTCACCGAGGGACAGTACAGAGAGGCCGGGCCTGGGCCAGGTGACCCTCTAGCCAAAGCAAGAGGGTTGAGAAGAGGGGAGGAAAGGAAGTAGCTTTGGAAGAGAAGAGTAGCATGTGCCAAGGCCCTGGGGTAGACATGGTAAGACCAGGGTGAAAAAGCTGCAGCAGACAGGGGAGGAACAACAAGGGCAGATTTTGCTTAAAATTTGGGGTGCTGTCGGTCCTCCCTGGTGGCACAGTAGGTTAAAGCACTGCACTGAGAAGCTAATAAATAAATAAATCTTTAAAAAAAAAAAGATTTATTTATTTGTGCATACAGAACTGGGGTACAGGCCAGAGGTTCAGGGGCAGCGGGAGGCTTCACCAGAGACAGAGTGGGGAGCAGAACAGGCAGATCGAGGAAGTACACTGCTGAGAGGAGCAGCGGGCGGGTCAGGAGAGGTCTGCATGTGGTCACCTCCGGGGCAGGTGGGGATCGAACTCATGCGGAAGCGGCTTTAGATTCTCAGTGCTGTGCTTTAACCCGCTGCGCCACCAGGGAGGGCCCAATAAATACATCTTTAAAAAAAAAATTTGGGGTGCTGTCATCATAGTTCCATTGCAAGGAATATTTTGATTGACATGACCACAGAGATGCAGCAACCTGAGCTCATATTCCTACTCACTCATTTATTCACTCACCCAGCAAGTGCTAGTGAACATTTACAATGTGTAGGGACTAGCCCAGAGCTCTTGGGGATATTGTTCCAGCATAACAGGGGACAGAAAACAATGTTGGAGTGTGGCAAAGAGGACAGGCAATAAGCAGTTGGACCTGTTAGTGCCCCGCCGGCAGGACAGCAGGTGCGAAGGTCCTGAGGCAGGAACTGTGTGGATGTTTGAGGAAGAGCAAAGTGATGGGGGTCTGGGTGAGATGGGAGCCAGGCCACGGAGGCGACGTGATTCCATTGGCTTTTCGAAAAGACCTCCCTGCCGAGGAGGGGCGGGAGCGGGCGCAGAGAGGAGGCTGCAGCTGAGGGGCCTCTCGGGGAGAGAGCAGGGCCCTGAGCCCCCCTGAGCAGAAGGCGGCGATCTGGAGAGGGAACAGCTGGCATGGGGCTGGCTCCCCAGGAGGGCAGAGCACAAGGGTATAGTGGGGTATGGTAGCCGGCACCCAGGGAATTCCCCTTCTCAGGGGTTCCATTTTCTCTTGAAGGCAAAGGAAGCTGTGGCAGGGGCCCAAGTGGAAGAGTTGAGAAGAAAGCAGGGCCCGGGAATCACAGCTGGGCAGCACTAAGGGCCCAGCACCCATGGCCCAGGGCCGCCAGCCCTGCCCTCTCCTCCGGGGGGAAGCCTCTTGCCTCCGCGCTTGGGCCAGACCTCAGCTCCTCGCCCGGCCTGGAGCACGCCGGGCCTGGTGGAGGAATCGCCCAAGCGCCTCCTCTACCCTAATCCCTGCTGGGGCCAGGCGTTGGCTCCCCATGGCTGAGGCTGGGGAGCACCCCCCCCCAGGTGCCCAGCCCACAGAGCGCCCACCCCCAAGGGGGCGGCTCACTGCAGTTGCTAATCAGGAGGAATTAGACTGTCTGCAAAGAAAGACAATTGGAGGTCAGGCTCCAGGCCTTGGACCTGCTGCTCCACCGTTTACCCTGAAGATTAATTATCCTGCAGCCCAAGGAGGCCTCAGTAGCCCCGCGCTATTTGGGGCGCTGGCTTCCTGCCGGTGGTGAAATGCACACAGCTTCCATTCCCTGCCACGCTGCTCGGCTTGTAGCAGCGGAAGGACGGTCCTCCGTGAGTCGGGGCGAGCCTGTCGGCGACAGGCCCCGGCTCTGAGCAGCCAACAGTGCCAGCCCAGGGCTGGCCCACGCCGCACCCTACCCCTGCGCCAGGGCTGGGTCTCCCCGTGGTTGCTCTGAAGGGCACCCCTCCCCGCTGAGCTAGAACTGGGGAGCGCTGCCATGGGCCGAGGGCTGCATGGGAAGCCTCTGATCACCTGGCTAAGGAGAGTCATCCCAGCTGCGCTCCCTGGCCTCAGCCTGCTCTGCCTTGGCACAGCCGTGAGTTACGGAAGGGCAGAGCCTGGCACCAGGGTGAATTTATTACCAGATGAAGGAAGGAGCCTTCCAGTGTCCAGGGGGCCTTTCACGGGCCGCCTCGTCTGGCTTACCCGTTACTCCCATGGCCCAGAGCCGAAGGGAGGCCACGGCCCATCCATTTTACAGGCAAAATGCAGGCGCTCAGGGGCATGGACAGGACAAATGAGTGATTGCATGGGTGCGGGAGTGAGTGACGGAAGCCAGTTGCTGCTGGGCCCCGGGACTGATGGAGGCTGTGCCACCGGGCAGGAGGTCCCCAGCTGAGGCCCTGGCAGAGGCCCGGCTCTGCTCGCTCTGGACACGACAGGGTCCCCCACTCGCCTCCTCACCTGTGTGGACTTCTGCCACTACAGTGTAGAAGTCGATGTTGTGCCTGAACCCCGCCCTGCCTGAGGACCGCCCCCCCCTCTTCCTCCATCCTGCTGGGCCCTGGAGACCCAGAGCTGGTAGAGCTGTGGTCCCCACCCTCGAAGAGCGCCCGGGTAGGGCTCAAGTGAGCAGAAGCGCTAATTGGAATCAGCTCCAGTTGTGCCACTGGGCCTCTTCCAGCAGAGCCAGCTGGCTCTGCGCCCCGGGGCAACCCAGGGGGGCTGCTGGCAAGGGGAGGCATTGTTTACACTCCTTCAGCTTGTCAGTTCCCAAGAACGAGGCGCTGGGAGAGCGGTCCACTCCCTTTGGGGGCAGCTGGGCGTCTGTCTCCAGCAAGGCATGTCCACTTGGCCTGGGGTGCACAGGCAGCCCCATCTCACAGGACGGGGAGGCCCAGAGAGGAAGCCATGGCCCAGCTGAGTTGCTAGGCGCCATGGTCAGACCTGGAGTCCTGTGCCCCCACTGCCCCCCCAAATCTCCCGGGTGAGCCCACGAGGTTACCTAGGAAATACCAGAGCAGGACTCCCACGGCGGCCAGTGCGACCAGGGCCAGCCACAGGGGCGCCAGGCGGAGGCAGTCCCGGGCCTTCCTCCTGGGGCCCACGGGCGCCTTGAGCGCGCCCTCTGGCTCCGTGTCCTCGCTGTCACCTCCGTCACCCTGCCCGCCTGCCACCTGGGAGGCCTCGGCGGTGGGCATCCTGGTGGGGAACGGAACAGGGAGTTAGGCACAGCCTGGCCTCTGTGCGGAAGCCCTTGCTGGGAGCCACTGCCACAGGAGAGCTGGATAGCACGCGGCCCGTGGGGGACGAGAGCCCCAGGAGCAGGGACTGAAAGCGGGCGCTGCTGGCCGCCCGAGAGGAGGGGAGCAAGCCCCCCTGCAGCTCCCTCGGGGGCGTCGGTCCCGGGCTGCCTCGCTGCGGTCAGAGCGCCACGCAGGCCTCTGGGTTGACCCACCCTGGCCCCCAAACCCGAGGCTACACCCACAGATGGCGCTGGAGGACATGGGGTGCAGTTTCTGAGCGGGCTTCTCGGCGATCCTTCTAGTCGGAGGGTGGGGCTCCCTGCACTGGTGATACTACCAGTTCCCTCAGCCCGAGCCCCAGACATGCCCACCAGCAGAGCGGTGTTGGACCAAGGACCTGGCTGTCCCTCTTGTCCCCCCACCTCCTCCATAGCTCCTCTGGGTGGAGAGAGGAGGCAAAACTAACATTCATTTAGCGTCTGCTCAGCTGACAGGCATCACTTCAGCCCACCCTTGCCTGCCCCAGAGTGGGGCCCACGGCCCCCGGGGTTCTCCCTCAGGCCCCTCTCTGTGGACACTTCCGCGTGCTCTCCCCGACAGTTTGCGTACCCACTGGACAGAGGAGGAAACAGACCAGCCCAGCCCGGGGTCCTGACTCCATCGTCCCCAAGTGACTCGCCCGGGAGACGAGCCAAGCCCGGGGAGGCTGAGCCAGGCCAAGGCCAGCAGGGAAGAGAGGGTCCGGCCAGGTGCAGCCTCTCTGCTCCCCGTGTCCACCCTGGCTGCCTGCCCCCGGGAGCTGTCAGGTAATAAATCGGGAATAATAAGGACCGCCACCCCCTCGTGCCCCAGGTCTGCAGAGCGTGTCCCAGTATGCTCACCTGGCCCTCCGCCCCCGGCAAACTTCTAAGGTGACGTAGGGCCACGGGGAAGACCCCTCCCCGCCCACCACCAGCAGGACAAGCGTCCCAGCAGGCCACTAGAAGTTAGGCCGCTTTTGCTGCTGCCACACTTTCTAATCTGCCCCAGCTGTGTGCACGTGTGTGTGTACAGGTGTGTGCGGTATTTCTGGCCACAGAGCGGGTTTCCTCACGAGCTCCTCTTGAGGCCTGAACTGCCCACACCTCCTTCCCTCTCCGCTGCTCCCTGCCCCTCACTCCTCTTGGCTTGCTTCCCCGTCGAGGCAAGAAGCATAAATATCCCTGATGGGTGGGCAGGCCTGGGCGCGCCTGAAGTGTCCACAGCACGCCTGGCCGCCCCCCACCCCCACCAGCCCCTGCAGAGAGCCAGCCCGGGGCGGTGCCTGAGCTCTCTCAGCCCCAGGGGGGCCACACTCCTGTTTTACTCTTGAGTCTGGGTCACCAAGGAGCTATTTCGGGATGACTCATGAGCTGTTGGGACTCGGGGGCACAGTGGTGACAGCAGTTGACATTTGTACACTCTCTGCGGGCAACGCACAGGCCCTGTGGGCAGGTTCTCTATGAGCCCTGTTTTACAGACGAGTAAGTTGAGGCAGAGAGGGAGAGCAGCTTGGTCCGGGTCAGACCGCGGGTTAGCAACCGCGTCAGGCTGCAACGCCCAGAGGTTTTCTCCAGAGCAACACCCTGGCCGCTGGGCTCTACCGCCTCTCGCCCCAGCCCCAGGACACAGGCGCAGAGAAGGCCCAGGGCACTCGCGGAACAGAGAGGTCTGCCAGGCCGCACCCCCGTGCTCCCCCAGGCTGGGCCTTCTGCTGCCCCTGCCCCCCTCATAAACGCCCTTGGCACCCTCAGGGGCTGCTGTCAGAGACCCCACTGTGTGAGAACCGGGCTGGCCTGGCCTGGCCCTGCCCGTGCTGCTGGGCTGCAGGTCCGCCTCCCACTCCTGGTTCGTCCAGCTGGTCCCTCACGCTGCCACCAAAGAGAGCCTGCCCACCCCCACCAGTCACCCTGGTGCGGCACCCAAGGCCCCCCGCGGCAGGCTGCTGGCCCCACTCCTGGCCACGCACGTCACCCCAGGGACCACGAGCCGCGCCTTGGGTGGCCGGGCCAAGGAGGCCCTGAGGTGCCCGCGGGGCAGTGGGTCCCTGGCCCGGAGAGATGAGCCACCTCATTGCTGGACAGCCCTTCGTCACTTGCTGCTCATCCCGCAGGAGAAGTGTCTCTCTGGGCCTGTTCACCTCGGGCTCCCAGGAGCTCCGTCCGGTCTGCCCCGAGAAAGTGCCCCGTGAACGAATGAACGGAAGCCCAGCGTCCGGTCTCGACTCCTGGGCCCTCCCTCTCGCCTGCCTCCGGGAGCGGGACCGGCTGAAGCTGGGAGCCGCCGGCGGCCTCGGGCCCTGGGTGCAGGTGCCCGTCTCGGGTGCTCCTCTGACTCGGGTGCTGTGCTCCGTGGGGAGCCAGAGGTGCTGAGACCCAGGACGCCACAGGGTGAGACCCGGGAGCACGGTGGTGGACACCAGGCCCCGTCCCCGCCCTCTCGGGCCGATAGCCCAGCAGAACATGGCGACGGCGGTGGTGGGGTCTCTAGCTCCCCCCGCCAGGCCTGCCCTGTGATCCAGCTGCCCCTTGTTTCCAGGGTCCAGTCACGGAAAGCTCCACATCCAGACGCCCCGGCACCAGCCCCTCCTCGGCTCTGCCCGTCCCCACCGCCCACTCTAAGTCCTGACCAGTGGCGGTCATCGCCCTCCGCCAGCCCAGCCGGTGCAGTGCCGCCCGGTGGGGGTGGGCCGCAGCGCGAGCCTGGCTCACTGACCGAGGAGCAGAGCCCAGGGCCCTCAGCAGGACGCCCTGCTGCAGCGCCCAGCGCCGGCTGGACCGTCAGTCTGTCAAGCCCCCGCTTCGGGCCTTGGCCCTGGCTGTCCCCCAGGAGTGCTCTTCCTTTAGCTGGCTTCATGGCACACGCCTTTACCTCCTTCGGGTCTCTGCTCCAGCGGAAGCTTCCAGGACTTTCCTCAGCGCTCCCTTGTCTGTCTGGCACTTCTGGAGGCTCCACTGGGGAGAAGCTCAGAAGCCCTCTGCCTCTGCCCTGGCTGGGAGCTGCACCCGCCACTAGAGGATGCCAGTCTGCCCGCCCCAAGCCGGGCCCGGCCCGCAGCGCCTCCCCCGCCGGCCGAGCTGTGCCTCTTGCCTGGGTGATGGCTCTCTGGTCTGTGCCGGGCACGGCGGCACGGACTGCTGAGGTGGTCTCCCCGAGGCCACGGGGCCAGCAGAGGGCAGCGCAAGCGTCCAGTGCCGCGGCTGACCCAGCGCCCGCAGTGAGAGCGCGGGACCCCGCCACAGCCCGACTGTCGGAGTGGGGAGAGCGGGTGGACGTCCCTCCCCCATGGGAGGGAGACACTCGGAGACACACACAGACGGAGATACAGCAGCACACACCTGCCTGCGGTGCACGAGCTCACAGGTGCAGACTCACGCTGCACCCACGCGCTCACACGCTCACACGGCCAGCTGCCCGCAATGCTGGGCTGGAAGGAAGGGCCCGCTCACCACAGGCGGGGCTCCGGCCTGGCCCCCACATCACAGAGCCCGAGGTGGGGGAGCTGGAGGTGGGGCGGGGGCGGGGGGGCAGCATGTCCAGCTCTGCCAGGTACAGTCAGTGGTCTGCTGGCAGCTGGCCTCTGCCCTGCGCTGACCCTGCCCCAGAGTCCACCAGCCCCACCTGACTCCAGGCCTCCTGGCATCCCGAACCTAAAGCCACCTGCTGCCCTGGGCTCGTCCACACTCCGGGCCATGTGCACCCCTTGTCCCAACCCCAGCTCAGCGGACCCCTCACCTTCAGCTCCGCTGTCACTCTGGCCGGTGAGGCCCGGCAGCCCTGGTCTCAGAACCTCCAAAAGCCAGGCCCAGCTCTCAGGGTGGACTACAGTGGGTCATTCATAGACCTGGTGCCCCGTCCTGAAGCCCCCCGCTTACCTCTGGGAGTGGCAGGTGGGTGCCGGGCCTGCAAGCAGGCCTCAGAGCCTCTGTTTGTCCAGGTCAAGGTCTCTCCACCCCCACCTAGCCAGTCTGGGCTGGATCAATGGCCCGGAGCCATGAGCAGGGTGTCTGGCCCTTGTCCCCTGCAGCCTGTGGCCCCAGGCTCCATGGGCCTCTTGCCCCGTTTGGGATGGCACTGTGACTGTGCGCAGGTAAACAGGCAGGAGGCGGGAGACAGCGGGGCCTGCCCAGCCCCGCCCCGCCCGGCCCCGCCCCGCGGGCACGGAGGCTGGCAGGCAGGTGCGGAGATCTGAGCTCTCCCCCGAGGCCGTTGCCTGGTGACACCCCTGCCTGGTGACAGCCCCCAAAGAATGAGGTAGGGGCCACGGAGGGCTGTGCCGAGGTGGGGGCTGGCACGGGTCTTCTTACCTGGACAGTGAGCCCAGGGCAGCTGCCAGGACAAGAGGAAAGGAAGTTGGCCGAGGGCTCTGGGGACCCAGGGGTGCGTGGTGGGGGTGGGGGTGGGGGGCTTGATGCCATTTTCTGTCTAACTGGAAGTTGTCTTCATTGTGACCTGCTCTGGAAAGCTGTGCAGTCCATCTTGGTGGCCACTCGCCACTCGTGACTCTCAAGCACCTGCAATGCAGCCTCTCACTGGGATGGGCCCTGCAGGGGAGGCATAAACCAGGTTTCCAAGATGCTCTGCAAAGAGCAGGCGGGCTTGCCACGCTTGCCGGGCAGGTGGCGGGGCCGGGCAGTGTGGCCCCCACGGGAGGAGGCCATGAGACTCATTTCGCCTGTGGGATTCTGCATTTTTGGATGCAACTACTTGAACGAGGCTGTTGCAGGAGTGGGGTTGAGCAGAGTCACGGGACGGGGTCTGGCCGGGGTCCCCAGCTGGGCCATCTGGCCGGGGCGCTGACGGCAGGCTTTCCTGGCTGAGAGCAGTCGATGGGCCTCGGTGCCAGTGAGGCCTCACACGCCTGCCACTGTGAGGGCTCGTGGGCCGCGCACCTGGGTGTGGAGTGCCCGGTGTGTGTTCGTGTGAGCGTGCATGGG